ATTAACATGTCCCAACCTGGCATGCCACTTAGAAGATTCCGAAGGTGTAGTTGTGACTTGTAAGCATTGGTTTATATCAGCTTGCAAGTTGACTTTATACAAACGATTCCTTGATCTTGAAGTTTTTATCATTAGTTGTCCTACACGATCAAAGAGCATTAGTATATTGTCTTTCATTCGTACCTCACACCCAACCTCTGTGGCTTGTCCTAAGCTGAGAATGTTGCTTCGTAGCCCAGGTATGTAGTAGACATTGTTCAGAATTTTTCGTTCACCTCCTTTCAATATAAACTTGATGGAACCTTTACCCTTTATGTCAATGCGAGAGTCATCACCAAACCGGACCTTCCCTGTAATGCCTTCGTTGAGTGTTAGAAAGAAGGATCGATTGCCACTCATGTGGTTGCTGGCTCCATTGTCTAGATACCACCGGTTCTCCATGCCAAGTTCATCCTCAAAGTTACTCGGTTTAACTTGGTTTTCATTCAAATAAACAACTTCATGCATCAACAAGTCATCTGCTTCCTGTGTTTCTTCATCTTTCTTCTCCACGGTCTCTTGAAGCTTTAGTACCCTGTCTGGACATTCAGATGCGTAGTGACCGACTTTACTACACTCAAAACATGTAATATGACTCTTGTCTCGGTTTTGACCCTGCTTCCAAGCTTCTTTCTGCGCGAAGAAGCCACTAGATCGTCCTCGACCTCTACTTCCTCTCCAGTTACTCCTACCTCCATGTCCCCTTCCTCTGTTTGAACCATAACCTTCATACTGGGACTCGTTGTTAGCGTACATTAGTTTTCCTTGATCCTCGGGTTGGTCCTCATCCTCTTCTTCTCTTATTCTCTCTTCATATGCTTTTATCCTTCCAACTATATCTTCGAAATTAGCCACATTAAGGTCTAGAACCTGTTCAAGAGATGCAACCATGTGTATGTAATTCTTCCGAGGTAGACTTGACAGAAACTTCTTGACAAGTTTTGCCTCGTCTATGATCTTTCCTAGAGAGGCTGACTTTGAAGATATCTCTGTAAGCCTTCCTGAGAAAGAGTCAATGGTATCATCGTCTTTCATCTTTAGTTTATCAAAATCAGTCATTAGTTTCTGTAGTCGTGCTTCTTTTACTCTTTCATCTCCAACATATCGTGTCTGAATTGCATCCCATACTGCCTTGGCCGTGTCGAGACTGCCTACTTGCATCGCTAATCCTTCAGGTATTGATTGAATGATCAAAGCAGTAGCTAGGTCATTCTTATCTTCGGTTTTGCTCCCTGGGTCAATAGTTTCCCAAACTTTATTCACCTTGAGAGCAAGCTTCATCTTCAACGCCCAAACTGTATAGTTTGTGGTTGTTAGCATTGGAAACTTGATGGATGAAGGTCCAGTAAGTTTGTTGCTAGTTCCGATCTCTTCTTTTTCATCCGCCATTGTTTGTTTTTTTTCTTTCAAATTCTTGAAGCTCTGATACCAATTATTGTAATCAAGAGATCAAGTTCTTCAAACACCTTTCAAATATATTAAACCTCAACCTCAATAGCAATTCTTTCAATCACACAAATCCGTGATCTCAAAGTTAAATAAGCCTAGATATATATAGTAGATAAAACTCCAAAACCTATTAGTAAAACACTTAGATAACGGCTAAAACACTTTTAGATAACTCCCAACANAGATCAAGTTCTTCAAACACCTTTCAAATATATTAAACCTCAACCTCAATAGCAATTCTTTCAATCACACAAATCCGTGATCTCAAAGTTAAATAAGCCTAGATATATATAGTAGATAAAACTCCAAAACCTATTAGTAAAACACTTAGATAACGGCTAAAACACTTTTAGATAACTCCCAACAAGTTTAGGATTTATCTTTAACTTGTGACTCAAGATAACTTCAAGCTTATCCAACAACTATCATTTTAATTCTATATTTATTTGGTTTGTTTGGTTTAAATGTTTGATGTTTTTTATTTTTTTCGATGATAACAAAAACTATTGTTATTTGTTTGGTTTCTTTTTATATAAATTTTAGACATTTTATATGTCACACTAATAGTTTCTTATTATAATTTCTAAATACATGTAAAATCAAATAAAATCTAAATAATATTTGAAAAAGAATTATTAACATAAAACATTTCACTAAAATTTGAGCGAAGTGAAAGAAAACATTAAAAAAAAATCAACTTCAATAAGAATTAAAATTCTCACTTATAGTGAATATTTAGTTATATAGTCGTTCATGTCAATGTGTACATGTATGTATATGTAAAAGTATATAAATGTGATGATAAATATATGAATATACCATTAATTAAGATTTAAAACATTTTTGTTCAAAATAACACATGATAGTAAATTCTTAAATAAAACTAAGTAAAAATAAATAAAAAACTAGAAATTAATAACATTTTTTCATATGAAGAAAATCAAACTGTACATGTAAACAATAAAAATAATTATATTATAAAGTGACATCTTCACTTGGTACCTGAATTTTGTTTTTAATCGATTTTGTGTTTTGTATTTCTTTTTAAAGCCTTTTTGATTTGTGATATTTTTCTACCAATTTGATTTTGTTTCTAATTCTTGGTCTGATACAAAAACTTTATAAAAAATGTTAATATTTGACTAAACTAAAGATCCAACTTTACGTGTGGTGTTTTTCACCTCAAATTCTTTAATTCATAATCAATCACCTTATTTGTTGTTATATTGTGTACCGAAACCTCAACCATGACCAACTTTGGTAAGGTACGAAACTTTCAATTTCTACAAACATTTTCCTCGCAACACTTTTCTCTAGAGTGTTCAAGGGCCGATACTTCAGAAACATTACACCCCTGCAAGTGCCCCGTTCTTATTTGCCCTCATATGGGTGGCGAAGTATTGTGTCTGCTAGATCTCTGGTTGTAAAAGGACTAATTAAAAGGGTGGGATCAGGATTCTCCATCTCAGTATGGAACGACCCTTGGCTCCTAACCACTCGCCCGAGACCAGCATTAAGTAATAATCAAAACTATGATCCGGAACTCACAGTGGATTGCCAATCCTACTTCACGAACATGGAATTTATCGGTTATTTGGAATCTTGTGGACTTGGAAGATGCGAAAATCATTGAAGCAATTCCTTTGAGTAAAACTAGGATGGTCGATCAGGAGGGGTGGCATTTTACGACTAATGGTAGGTATACGGTTAAGTCAGGATATCAAGTTGAGATAGTATACCCGGATCGCGAGAAACCATTGATAGGGTATGGACCTACGGTTGATCTGCTAAAGGCCCAGGCTTGGAAACTTCGTTGCCCACCAAAAATGAAACATTTTATCTGGCAGCTTATAACATGATGTATTGCGGTGAAGAAGAATCTGAAGTGTAGAGGTATTCAAGGGGAGATACATTGTGCGAGATGTGGAGGTACTGAGGAGTCAGTTAACCATGTCTTCTTTGAGTGACCCCCAGCTGTTCAAGTTTGGGCATTCTCTCAGATTCCCACTAGGTAAGATGGATTTCCTTCTCTCGCGTTGTTTACAAACATTGATTACCTATTTTGGAGAGTAAGGCCAGCAATGGAGAATCACCAGTTTGTTTGGATCTTGTGGTATCTATGGAAGGCAAGGAATAATAAGATATTTAGTAATATGGATGTGACCCCAATGGATACCCTGAAGTTGGCGGAGACGGAATCACTTTTATGGGAGGAGGCACAAATCACGACCCTACCAAATTGTCAGGTTGGTCAGGAAATTACTGCGATAAGTCTCCATCTATTCTGGGGCGTTGGTGCTTCTCGGATGGATCGTGGAAAGGAAATGATTTGTTTTCCGGACAAGGGTGGTATAGTACTAGTCCAGGCTACCAAGGATTAATGGGAGCGAGAAATAAGAGAGCGTCTCTCTCGTCGTTACATTCGGAGATATAAGCTCTCATTTGGGCTATGGAAAGTATGAGGAATTTGCGTCAATACCGGGTCACTTTTGCAACGGATTGTCTCCAGTTGGTGAAAATGGTTACTTCACCGGAGGATTGGCCGGTATTTGCAAATTATCTGGATAACATAAAGCTCCTCAAACAAAGTTTTATAACGGCAGAGATCATCCATATCTCCAGATCACTAAATACAAAGGCGGACAGTCTAGTACGTAGTGCCAGGAAGCAACCGTCTTTTGTTGTTCATATGGATGCCGAGTTACTAGTTTGGTTTACAGAATCTGTTTAGAGCCTGTTCTATGTTGATGACAAAAAAAAAAAAATTACAATAAAGATATTATTCATTAGTTTTACGTAGAAAATTTTAATTTATTAATACAAAAGTTAAAAATGTAGGAAAAATGAATTAATTAAAAAAATAATGTATTTATTGTTAAATGATTGTGAAGCCAACACATGTCAATTATAATGGGAATGTATTTATTACAATGATCCCTTATATATTAAAAGAGAAGCATTTTGCATTAAATGCGTTCACATTGAATTGAGAAAAAATTCTGACGTGTCGCTTCCATAATGGTTCTCACAAAAAATATTGCCAAATTCATAAACCAGATTTCCTAACTTTCCATATTACGTGTCTTGACATATAAAGAGACTAACTACATATTACGTGAACCTGTTGTGTCTCTCTCTCAATTTCAAACCTTAGCAATTATCAGTTTCAACAAATCTCGAAGATATAAATATGAACCTGCTGTGTCTCTCTCTCAAACAACAATAATGAAAACCTCAATGAGCACCATTGTCTTCTTCCTAAGAGCTCTCTCCATTGGAAAGAGTCGTTCAGTGACTTCGCGACACAAAGACGAGGAACTCGAGATGAAAAACCTCGACTTAAGCGGTATAGCAAGCTCGGTGATTGGAGTAGAGAGAATTCTGAAAGGACTACTCGATGAATTAACAGTCAACGAGGGTGTACAAGCTCGTATGGATGGAATCATGTTTCAGCAACCTGACTGAGATTCTTTCGCAGCTCCTATCATTGATCTTCTTAAAGACTCAAAACGATGTTGAAACCCGACCAGGTGACATCTCCAGTCCAATGGGAGACGACAGTAAAGACTCTCTTATCCAAAGGACTTAAGAACAGCTATGAATTGGGACCTGGAAAGGTATATAAAGTACTTTTCTTGGCTTCATAATCTAAGTTATATATTTTTTGAAGTTCCTTCGTCGTCTAAGTTGTGTGTGTGTTTTTCAAACAACAGGTGATTGCAGGGATATTCAAGAGAGTATATAAAAGCGCCAATGTTGAAAACATCAGTGCTTGAGACTCACTCTAATGTTTTACAAGTTTGGAGTTTAAAGTTTTGTATCGAATATTCATGTAACACTTCTCACACGAATATGTTGAGATATCTTTATCTATTTAGAAACTAAAGCTCAGTGGCATAGCAATCTCTTTAGCGATTGTTGGGCTCCTTCCTTCTCCTTTAGACAAACCCACAACACCTAATCTCAACCTTGAAGACGAGTTATGCAAAGACGAGACACGGTCAAAGAGAGTTGTCCGTAAGATTGAAGTTATATACTACTACTTATTTGCAAATTCACGTCCATGATTGTACGTGGTCCCTAACAATATTCATATTTACGAAAAAGCATGGTCACTAACGATCTTCGTCTTCACAAAGAAACCTATTTGACTTATCTTTACTGGAAATATATATAATGCAAGTTTCTTGTACAAAGCATGAACTTCTGAATATGTATTTGATGTAGTTTGTTTAAACCGAGAACTCCCTTTTTATATATTTTGTTAAACCATTTGGTTTCGACTACTCTAATATTGAACCGACTACTCGGATAGAACCGTTGGTATCGACTACTCTTCTTTGAATTGAAACGGTTAATGTTTTCTTGGCCGGTTCGCAGTATTTGAGTGTTTGGCAAGGTTTATTAATGATGATATGATATTTTCATTTATTTAAAAAGTTTGGTTTATGGCAATATTGACATTCTTGTGGTCGAAGTAAATTATTGACCAAGGCAAATATATTTACATTTAATTATCTTGTGGTCGAAGTCCATTAGGTTTATTATCCCCTATATAACAAACGTTTGTTCTCATCATTAGGACTCATAACCTAAACGAAAACCCAGTTATTCTTCACTCATCTTTCTCTAATGGCTGTGATTACTTCTGTGTCAGATTTGAAACCGTTCAAGTCTATGTGGAAGATTAGGGTGAAGATCATTCGTTTGTGGAAGCAGTATTCTGCAGCCGGTGGAGAAACAATTGAGATGGTTCTAATCGATGAGAACGTAAGTATCCTTTACTCTTCACGTTAGTAATATTTAGTATGTTTAATGACCTATCTAATTTTTGACTACATTTGTTGCTTTTTGTAGGGTGTTAATATTAATGCTATTGTGAAAAAAAATCTTGTTAATCAGTTTGATTCATTCCTTTTACAAGGAAGTTCAAAGATTCTCATCAACTTTTCACTAAACCCTTCTTGTGGATCATACCGAACAACCATACATCCATACAGAATTGGTTTTCTGTCGACAACACGCGTGAGGAATTGTGATGATTTGCGCAATGCTCTAACTGGTTTTGAACCAGTTAGCTACAGGGACATTCTTGATGGTACACTAAGTACGGACTATTTGGTTGGTAAGTTACATAATTCTGGTGCTTTCATTTAATATACTGTTGGGGTCAAAATCGGTACGACGGAATCAATAGCCAAAATTCCCCGCAAACGCGTAAACGCAACAGTTTTATGAATCTCGAGAATCATTTTATAAAACTCGAGGATCGTTTTATAAAACTCGAGAGATCGTTTTATAAAACTCGAGAGATCGTTTTATAAAACTCGAGAGATCGTTTTATAAAACTCGAGAGATCGTTTTATAAAACTCGAAGATCGTTTTATAAAACTCGAGAGATCGTTTTATAAAACTCGAGAGATCGTTTTATAAAACTCGAGAGATCGTTTTATAAAAACTCGAAGATCGTTTTATAAAAACTCGAAG